CAGCTAAGAAATGAGTGCAGCAGCAAGTACACCGTGATGCACCAGCCATTATACCATGCAGCCTGAATGATTTCTCATTAAGCTCAGTGGAAAGACTCTTGCTGCTTTCAGTAGTAATCAGTTAAGGACAAAGATTAACACAAGATAAAGCTGTAAGAAAAGTGATGACAGTGGGATGTCATATGGTCACAAACCACAAAATCATGTGCTAATGATGTGCATATGAAACTGCAGTGCTACCTAAAAGTGCTTTAGAGTCATACACGGAAGAAAATGGTGCAGCTGTTGAGCAATACACATTCTTGGAAGTGCTGGCTTGAGTCTACCTGCACATACTTCTATCCCTGCATAGCAAAATGTGTATATTCCATCTTATAATTATTTTCCAAGTATAAATGTTTTGTTGGGTGGGGTAATAATGATTTTTGCTTGTTGTGATAAATGATTATCAGTTCATTCCTTTCAGGAATGTATAATTTATATCCCTGATTTGTTGTGTGGAATAAGTTGTCTGTGGCACTATCAGCAGCTCCCACTGGAGTGAGAAAGCATTAGAAGTCCCATCTTTAAATCAAGCCACCACAGTGGGAGTTCAGAGCCCTTTATTCAGCACGAAGTCACACTGCTCAAGCCTGGTGACAGACTGAACATCAAATGTCCAAAGACAGCAAAGCAAATTGGCACAGCACCCCACTGAAAAAATGTCTGTGTGGCTCCAGAATGCTTTTCAGTGGTGTAACAAGGCTTCAGTTGCTTGTAGCCATTAGAAATCCTCCTTCAGCTCAAATATCTACCATCTTCTACTGTCCTTGGAGATGAGGTGTGGAGAGGTACAAGGTCTGTGTATAAATATCACAGAACATGGTGAACCTATGAGGGCTTCTGCATTTGTCACTGGCTTCAGAACAAGTGCATAAATTTAGGCACTACATACATAAAGAAGGCATTAATCTACCTAGAAAGCAGCTAGAGGAGGACTACAAGGCTGCTAAAGGGTCTGGAGGGAAAGCCTTATGAGGAGCAGCTGAGGTCACTTGGCTTGTTCAGCCTAGAGAAGAGGAAACTTGAGGGGAGACCTCATTTCAGTCTCACAAGGGAAACCAGAGGGATGGGCAGTGATTTCTTCACTTTCTTGGCTAGTGATGACCCAAGAGACAGCATGAAGCTGAGTCAGGGGAGGTTCAGGTCAGGTATTAGGAAAAGATTTTTCAACCAGAGGGTGTTTGGGCACTGGAAAAGTCTCCCCAGGGCAGTGGGCACAGCACCGCTGTCTCAGTTCATCAAGTGTTTGGATAATGCTCTCAGGCACACAGCGTGATTCTTGGGAATGCTCCTCTGCAGGGTCAAGAGTTGGACTCAATGATCCTCATGGGTCATTTCCAACTCAGCTTACTCTATGATGAATTTCAGACCACTTGAAAGAACTGTGGAGTAGCAAAACAGCCTGTAAGACAGACAACATCAGAGCATCCATGAAGTCCTGCTGTTCCCCTTGCATGCTATTCATGGTTGGCTGATTACACAGAGGAAAAACTCTGGGAGTTCTCTCCCATACACTTGCAGAGGCAGAAGGGATTGCCACCACGTAGCCACACTGCCAAAATTATCTTGTTTTATACCAGTTCTACTTACCTTGGAATCTCTGGTACGCTAAGGCTGATTTTTGTCATGTCTTTTGCTCTTACACAACCCCCAGTTTCCTTTCTTATTCTCTCCTCTCTCAACACAATTTCTGTATGCTGTTATTCTACAATTCTCCTTTCTTTGCTTCTCCTAAAAAAGTTTCTCATTTTTCTCTTTTCACTTCTATTTTTTCATTTAGCAAACTTCTCCCCAGTCTCAGTTCTTTTGCTAGATCCTTTATCTCATCATTTTCACTCTTTTGACTCCTGGCCTACTCAAGCATTCCTATTTTACCTCTACACCATGTTCAGCACCATTCAGTAAACAATGCAGACAGCATATCTACTCTTCCCCCTTGTAACTGGAATTTTACCATCCTTAATATATGCAAGAATATCATCTAGAGTAAAAAAATTCTCCATAATGACAGAGCTACACCATGAAACACAACAGATAGTTGTCAGCCATGGGGAATTGTAATATACAGGGGCAATATGCTCATCATACATTCACATTAGCCCATTCTTAGCCTCCTTATCTCACCGATTTTCTGAGCAACACCAAAGCATGGAGAACCTCTAGCCTGTGCTAGCAGGAGCTTTCATTCCTTCTGGAAACACCCTTGCTGAATGGAGAGAGATCAAAAGCCAACTGAAAAATTAGCTACTGCTACTTCAAATTGAGCCTAAAGAGATGCAAACTACCCTTTGATACCCATAATGGCAAGATAACATTTACAGAAAACTAAATCTTAAGCAGGAGCATGTGTGTCTCCTTTGCAAATGACAGCTAACAGTGCAGGAAGAACTCAGGTCTTTTACAGGCTTCTTTTGGCTATGGAGATAGAATCCAGATTCTGTTCAAATGTGGAGATAGTTTTTGACCTGCAATGAATGGCCATTCCACATTTTCTACTTTACTTGCATCAATGAAGGCTTCTCTACTAAAATGCTACCAAACATGTATGACAAGTGAGTGAATGTAACAATTGCCATTATAAAGCAATATCTCACTACATTACTTAAGCAATTTTGTTTCTAAGGAATGTCACTTAGAGAACTTATGCTTACACTGTAATTGTTAGTGTACTGGCAAAGTAGAATAACTTAGATTTGTTATCAAAGGCTCTGTAACAGAGCTGTCAAACTCTCTTCAGCTACATCTATCCTCCACAAAGATATTATTGAGGGAATAGTCAAAGTTCCCTTACTTCCTTCCCATTTTGCTGATTAGAATGACTGCCTGCTACATATTTGTAATCGATCTTGTGCAATAGCTAGGCTGTTGGCTTATCACTCAAATTCGAACTCAAGAGATAAATAGCCCGCTTTTCATCTGATCCTTGTCCTTTGACTTACCTTACTCAGACAGCCAATTGTTAAAATTTCCATCAGTACAGCTGTATGAGTCATTTCACCCAAACAATCCATGTCTTTAAAGGGCAGACAGGAAGATAAAACAACCAAATTTTATCTTAGGCAACAAGAACTACTGTTGGTATCTACTGGGAGTAAGAATAATATAACTGGGAATAAGAATAATGTGAATGTAATAGAAATCTGACAATAGCACATAAAATAATAGCAATGTGCAATCTGCAGAAAAGTAGCAATTGGAAGGAATAATTCCAGGCTAGGAGGAGATGCCCTAAGAGTCTCACAAGCATGTGAAAATGATTATTTGTTTATGGCTTATCACTTACTACAAGTAAAGACCATCAAACACTTGGACAGTGGCTGGCAGTCCACACAAAATCCAGCTCAATTTGAAAGACAGGGTTCATGACTACCTGACTTCTTTATCAAGTGCTACTTACTCTTCAGAGGAGAAAGGAGCTAGGTGGTAGGGGGGCAACAACCCAACTGCTGTTCTCAACAAACAGAAGACACCCAGCACTCAAATAAAACTATTTCATAGCATAATAAGTAATACCAAAAGCACCAGTTTAACTGAAATAAAAAAGCAAAAGGCACATAAAGGAGAGGGGAACTAATTCTTACTCTGTGGAGAAAAAATATCAAAGTGCAGTAAAAGCAAAAAATGAACAAGCTTAAAATACTATATATGGAAATTGATGATTCAGAACTGAAACTTTTTTAGATCACTCCCTGTTTCTGACAGCATTTAGGTGTTTTAAGATACTAGGGCACTTATCATGTCTACTAGAGAAGGCATAGCACTTTGATTGCACAATCACATAGATTGTGACCACTGTTGGATTTATCACATATTTTATCAATAACTATGAACAGAGATAGCTTTGCTAAAACAAACATCTGTTCTGTAATTGTTCATCTGTCAAGTATAAAATTTTCAAAAAAATAAGACTACCTTGGGTGAAATTTGTGTACCACTGCAGGTAAATATGGATGCAGAAGATTCTTGCACAAATTCTTATCAGGAACATTAACTTACCAATATTTTTGTTATTGTCTCGTGGTTAATGTTTGTACCTAAAATTCTTGGGCAAGTCTGCCAATGTGTACTGTAACAATTAAAATATATCACTCCTTCTTTCACTTGAAGTGAGTACAAGACTTTCAACTGCAGCAAATACAACTCACCAAAAAATGATTGATACAAATTTTGTGTCTCACTTGTTCCTTGTTTCTATAAGAAAGATTAAAAGACAGAAAATAGGACTTGTTTTTCTATTACTGTCTGTCTAGATGCTCTCTCTCGTTTCTTTTTTCCACTAAGCTTCTACATTGTAATTACTTAGAGGGAAATTTTTTGATTATTTTTTGCATGTTCTTCTAAGGTTACCAGCATACATGAATTGCAAACACAGTTATGGGGCAGCACAAAAAATGCTATCCTACCTGGGAGCATGGGAACTGAGAAGGCAAATGAGATGTTTTCTTGCTTTATACATCTATTTTCCTTAGTGCTTTTACCAGTTCTGAACCGGCCCTTCCCTCAGCCTCTGTATGAATCACTTGCTCCAGTGTTCTTTGAAATAAATGCATGTGGACTTGTCAGGTTCCTGTAGCTTTGGGACAGATGACTAATAATCCTGACAGCTTGGCTGTAAATTTTTGTACTAGAAATAAACGCTGTATGACCTAGCAGAGTAACAGAGGATCCAGCTGCATTGTTGCTTTTCAGTCAGGCTGTACAGTAACAGAATGGTCCTACTCTTAACAAAATAGTTTTTCTACTGGTATATATATGACTAACTGGGTGTCCCATGGCTGTAAAATAATATCCAACGAAACTTCTTCATTGGAGCTGAACCACACAAAGAGCACAATGACATCAGAACTGCAGGAAGAAAAATATCTCTGCTTTTACCCTTCTCTTTTATCCTAAGCTTTGGGTGATTATAGATACATATGAATCTCTGAAAAGTTCTTACTTTTTACTTTCTTTTACAGATATATGGCCATTATTGATCCCTTGAAACCTAGGCTCTCTGCAACTGCTACCAAGGTGGTCATTGGGAGCATATGGATTTTGGCATTCCTGTTGGCCTTTCCCCAGTGCCTATACTCCATAACCAAGGTGATGCCTGGGAGAACACTTTGCTATGTAGCATGGCCAGGTGGCCCAAAACAGCATTTTACGTAAGCTTTTGTTCTTTCAAACTTGTGCATGATGGTGTCTAGACTTGCAATGGACTTGGCAAAATCCCTAGCGTCCTGCAGATACTCTACACACAGAATAACTAACAGTTTTGATCACTGAGAAATGCAGAGCCAATTCTCTAAGTAAAGATGGTAAAGCATTATATGTGATAAACTGAACAAATTTATTCTCTTCCACGTCTCTGAGTGGACTCCCTCCTATGCTGCACGTTTACTGTCATTGCTCCACCTAAGATGGGTACTTCTATAGAGACAGAGATGGTCAGAATTGGGAACATAACATGCAATCCAAAGCAAGCTTCCTCTTTATCCTAACCAGGAAAACAAGGATTTCTAGTCTCTCCTTAGAATTCCTTAGGTTGGAAAAGACCTCTAAGGTCATCAAGTCCAGCCACTAACCTTACACTACAAAGTCCACCACTAGACCACGTCTCTATGTGCCATATATGCATATTTTAAATATATCCAGGGATGGTGAATCAATTGCTCCTCTGGGCAGCCTGTACCAATGCTGGACAACCCTTGCCATTTAAAAAAAATTTCCTGATATTCAGTCTAAACCTCCCCTGGCACAGCCTACAGCCATTTCTTCTCTTGTAACTAGGGAGAAGAGACAAACACCCACCTTACTACAATCTCCTTTCAAGTAATTGTAGACAATGAGAAGGTCCTAACCAGATTTTTTCTCTGGATCTCTTCACAGAAGGGCTAGATTTTGCAGCTTCATTCTGTTACACTATAACAGTTACTAAAGTCAGATATTAGTCCAAAAGAGAAAACTGGATAACCTGCAACTGGTTCCACTTTCTGAAAGTGAGAATATCAGTCAATTAAATTAAATATATCCTGTTGGTCCCTCCAGTAGAATTAGGAATAAGTGGCTGCTTAGGCATCTGTCCTTTCATGTCTGCACTGACATTTAAGAAAAACATTGTGTTCAAGGCTGAAAGCCTGTGTAACCATCTAGAATCAAATTTGACCTTTTGCTCTTTTTAAGGCAAGTGAAAGAAGTCCTGGTCATGTGCAATTTTTATCACTTTAGGAACTGTACACAGACATTTCTCTTTAGGGCAGGAAGGTCACACTCAGTGACAGCTGGGGATTCTTCACTAATCATTCACTAGGATTTTATCTGAAGTTGGCATTTAACCAGGAACTAAAAGGAGGCAAAAGAAATTCTCTTTGTTTTAGCAGAGTTTACATCAGCAGTGGTGACTATACTGCACACAAGTCACACATCTGTGTTGTCTACGTGGAACAGATTTGCCATATGAAGAACAGTGGGTGACAGGACTCTTATCAGGGGTTCTGCATCAATATATGACTAAAATATTTATTTTCCTCTTTCATTTTATGGTCCAGAATAGAACTCCAAATGCCTAGCTTGCCCTCATGATACTTGGCTGTGCAATTATATGCACCAGCTCAGCTGGTTATGGACAAACATATCTTATTCTGCAGTCACTAATCATGATAACTATAGAGTCATTCATAATACATACTAGTGTAGGCTCAGCATCAGACACCCCACAAATCACATGCATTAAAATGCACATAAATTTACAGTGCAATCCAAGACTTTCAAAAAGACAGTGAAAACACCAAGGACTAGCTAGTTAATACAAAACATGCTTTGTGTTAAAGTAGCAGTCTTGACTTCTAGCAGCCCATTCCATTGGTATAGCTCCTCAGAAAGCACTTACCACCTTAATACCTTCTCGTTGCAGGTATCATGTTATTGTGATTGTGCTGGTCTACTGCTTTCCACTGCTTGTCATGGGCATCACTTATTCCATGGTGGGAATTACCCTCTGGGGAGGAGAAATACCAGGTGACACATCCAACAAATACCATGAGCAGCTCAAAGCTAAGAGAAAGGTACTGTTCCAGTAAATCCCACTAAGTGGATACTTATAAAATCATCTGCAATTGTGTTGCAACATATCACAGTAAATTCTTTCAGAAATACCAAATCACTTGAAATAGCAGTAATGAGAAACCTGCTTCAATACAAAATTTGATTATGTTTGACAAGTTGTCTTCTCTGTTCACTGGCTGTTCTTTTTGTAACTTTAATGCTTGTCATTAAAGAAAAGAAACATTTGGGTTTTAACTTCTTACTCCACATGTAACAGCACATACTGTGTCTGCTACATCTAAATGAAGGCAAAAAGTTTAGCCTTCACAGAGTTAAGATACTGAGTTTTGAACGATGGGCTAGCAAACCATTAGCTCGTTAGGTAAGATTCTCATCCTACTGAAACAAAAGTGAATCTTGCAGTAATTCTTAGGTGATTAAGGTCCATGCATATTTGAGATAAGCACTGATCAGCCTGCTTGTAATAAACAAATCAGATTTTTAAACACTAACTTTTTTGTGAGAAATGCAAACAAGTTTTCCCAGATATTTTCTTTCAATCTCTTTCACTGTAGGTATTGCTTAAACTAACTAGACTTAGGATTGTTTATAAACTAAGTATTTTACTATCTCCTATAGTATATAGGAGATATATATATAGTATATAGGAGATATATTTTAGTATATAATAAAGATAGTATTTTACTATCTTTACTTGATCAGTTTTCCTAATGTTGCAGTGCAATGAAGGTTTCTCTCCCATAACATTTTTTCTTAACCTAACTTTTCTTGTTTAGTAAAGTGGCCTTCTGCTTTGTAGTTCAGATTTTTTTTTTATACTAAAATGTATTGAACCTTTCAGATTTGAAAAAATGGTACCCTAATACAAACTTCTAATTCACAATGATGAGCACACTTTCAGTTGCTTGATTTGCTTCCTGATACTGTATGTTTGAACAGTGGAATATGCTACTGTGCTGCAGCAATAACAGAGTGGGGCGTATTGGATCCTGAGACAAGACGAGATCTCCTGAAAATTCTGGAGAACACCAACATTTTCATTTCTTTCAGGACACTTCAGAAATAACTTTCTGTAACAGACACAATTTGCAAAAGCAAATGTGGAAGGGAAATTATTAAATTATTGCAAAACCAGGACATGCCAGAAATTCAGGACTTTTTATCATAATGACTAAGTAAAATAATCATCTTGTGACATAGAAAATAGAAGTTTCTGAAAAGAAGATCTGGCTTTTACTATATGAAATAGAAGGCCCAATTAAATCTCTTGAATACTTTAAAAACAGTACCTGTTTAGAATTCTAAATATATACAGGAGACAAGGAAGAGCATCCTTAATTAAAGGATTTTAAATGTGAGAGTATGGGAATGCATACCTTCATGGCATGCAAGAAGGGAATTAAATTATGTGCAGATATATTATAACTGCATCAGTGACTTTATGGGTAGAGCTCCATGACAGCACTTTAGCTACACTGCTGTGCTCTCCAGCAGGATTTATGAAATAACTGGTATTTGGAAAGATGAATCATAATTGGTTATTCACAGAGAGGAACTAACAGACTGGAATCCAAATAAAGCCATAACTCAGCCTGTCTCTGATAACAGAGCTTGTGCTTTGCCTTTTCAGGCAAAGAAATAATCTATTTTTCTTGCTATTAAGTATATAGGTATCTAGACATATGGAAAATCTGTGCACTTATAATGAAGGAGAAATATAAAATAGCTGACTATGTTTCATATCAGGCAATGTTACAGTGCAAAGGTGTCTGATTCGGGCTGTTTGAAATTATATTTAATATTAAGAATGTAGTGAAGAGTTCATGTAAGACCTTTAAAAGAAACAATGTTTGCTAACAAAAGATTTGAAGCTTGACAAAGTTGTCAACAAATGGTCTTACCATTTCATATATATGATTGGGCAATACAGTCCTGAATCCTCTTGAAAGCAACATTAAGGGATGAAGGATACCAAGAATAGACTGCACATTGTAGGTTGGACAACACGAAGTCATGCTTAGTATCTTTAAGGTCAAAGACAAAGTATTTAGAAATTCAGGACTGGATTAAACTACAAAACTACTTTTGCCTTTTTTTTTTTTTTTTTGACAGACAGCTGAAATATCTCAGGGACTGACCCATTTAAATCTGCCAGACATCAGTCTTTTGAACTTTTGAACATTTGCTACATGAGGGGACTTTGCAGCCATTATCCCTTCTTCTTAAAGCTCCCAGCATGAGACTGACTGATATTCAGCTGCAAATACTTGCTCTCAGATGTTGTCTCCACACCCTGCTTTTGCTATGTAACAAATTCCAATCACTCTTTCAGCATTACTTAACCCATAAGAGGGAATAATCATGTACTGCAAGTAAAATCAGTATTGTTTTTATCAAGAGATAGAGTTCTGATACAAATGTTTTCTGACAAAAAGAACATTTATCTCAACAGAAGATGCTATTGCCTGGCTACAATTTGAAGAATACAGAGAAACAGAAAATATTCTCCATAACTTCTGTATTTCCTTTACTGTTCCTTTTACTTATGACTGTTAACTTTGTGATAATAAGTCACCAGGCATCTTTTTCAGTAATTTTCATTCCTCCACTCCTATGCTTCTGCTTGTATTTTCTGTTTCTCCTAGCACAGCTTGAGGTATCATCTCAACTTCTTTTAGCAATGAAGATTGATTAAAAGCCACACTGTTTCAATATATTTTTTTTTCTCAAATTTGAGTATAAAACAAGAAAAAAAGTCCTACATGTTTGCTAGCAAATCACAGTCTCTGAGATTTCCTGTAAGAACACTTCATACATATTTCTTTGGTTTGCTCTCTTTCTTTCCTCTCCTTTTCCTAGATTTAGAGAAAGTCCAGAGAAGGGCAGCTAAAACTGATCAAAGGACTTATGAAGAGATTAAAATGACCTGAACTTTTAAGTGTGGAGATAAGGACATTAAAAGACAAGATGTCAGGGTTTAGGGAAACACAAAGGTGGTGGATAAAGTGACTGAAGAGCTGTTGGTGACCAAATCCTGAAATACAAGAATTGATAGGAGAGCAGCATAAGGCTGGTAGAAGAGAGAGCACTTTAAGAAAGCATAATTTAAAGGTTGGTAAAGGGCATCTGATATGCTCTCTTGCCAGATGTTTATGATCTCAGAGGATCCAGAAAGGTTTTAGGCAGATTAACAAAAAATAAATTCATAAATCATAGTTTTTTTAAGGTTGGAAAAGACCATCAAGGTCAACAAGTCCAACCTCTGACTGGTCTCCATGGTCAACCAGACCACAACGCCAGGTGCCACGCCCATTCATTTCTTGAACACTTTCAGATATAATGACTCCACCACTTCCCTGAGCAGCCTTTTCCAATGGCTGACAATCCTTTCAGTGAAGAAATGCTTCTTGATGTCCAAAAATTTGCCTTAAGGTCCAAGTAGATACTGAAAGGATGAATCAGAGATGCACTTCTCTTTAACAAAATCATGGGTGCCAGGGCAGTATTAGGAAAATAGAACATGAAAAATGGCCAGGTTCATGAGATTTCCATAAACAGGACCTCCTACTGCCTCCATGACAGATTAGTAGGAGAGATGGGCAACTGTCTGATTCAGAAGGAACTGTCCTATGTCTTTATGCTCCTGTTTTTACAGAGCAGTAAAAAATAGGAGTATAAAAATACTCCTGACTTCTCATTGGCTTTCAGTGCAACTAAAAATGCAACTAAAAATTTCCTTTTTTATTTCTTTACTACATATGAATAAGCAACATGAAAACACATTAATATATATTTTATACCACACATTACAAAGAAAAGTACTAATTAGAAATAATGATACTTTTTCTGGCATCAAAAGGTAGCCATCCACGTCAGACAAAAAAAAAAAAAAAAAAAAAGATAGTTTCCCAGTTTCCCTATGCAGTAGTTTATTGTGGAGCAGAGGCAGGGAGAAAAAGAGAAAAGGAAAAAAAATCGAGAGAGTCAAAGCCTAAAATATTGCATTATGGCATCAAAAGTCTTGAAATACTGAATTAATTATGGGCTGACAGATTTGAAAAAACAAGACTATACTCATAATACAAAGCTTATTCAACATAAATAGGTGATGAGAGTACTACACTATGAACTCACAGATCAGATAACCAATAATTAACTCTGAAATCAAAGACCCTCCTAGTTCACAAGCAACCACTAAGTCTAGACAGACAGACTAGGGTTAGATATTGCTCCACTCATAAAACCTTTCGTGAAAGTTTGCATCCAGCCATGTGAAACAAAATGTTTTGACACTCTGGGTCCAAGGATTTGTCTTGCACATGACTTCCTACACCATCTTGAAACTTCACTTTTATCCTACATATTTGTTCAGACTTCTTCCAGATTGGAAAGTAATTGCTTCCTCATGGGACTACATAAAGACATGGGAAGTTTAAAATCTTCCCAGTTATTTAAGCAATCCATCTTCTCCTGGTTTATCCCAGCATGAGAACCAGCACTGCAATCTCCACTAATTTATATATTATATGCCATTTTCAAAATGACATAAGGGAATAGAAGTTTAATACAGCAGTAAGTAAATATAACTTGATTAACCTAAATTTAGTTAAAAACACTCCCTGCAATCAACTACTCTACACAAATTTGTACCACAGACTTCAAGGGAAAGCCCATCCTTCACAGCTGATGCTCTTATCTACACTGAATCAACACATGTGACTAGTTTTTAAAAGTCAGACAGTAAGAAACAGAATTTTTTGGTCTTTTTTCAGGAAATGGTATGCCAGGGCTACACATACATCAAAATATTCACTAGACATGTTTAGATGTCCAAAGAGAACCAAATCCTAGAACACAGTGTATGTAAGGTGAAGGCATCTGGACTGCACCTCACCCAAACCTACCATGCAACAGCAGTCTGCTGAAGAGTACTTATATTGCCATTGTGCTGTTCCCATAATTTATTTATTCATGGGGCATGAGTGTTTCCACCTTGAAG